TTCTCAGGCTCAATTAACATATCTATAGTCCCTGAGCTCAGTTGGGGGAAGGTGAGAGGTAAGGACAAAAGCTTGGGCAGAGTCCCGCTGTTTCGGCTTCCTGAGCCAGGTTTTCAGGAACTTGGCTGAATAGTTAACACTTGGGAGAGATTCAGGGAGGATGGGTTCTTTGTCTATAGAACAAAGAACTGAGAAGTAGCTAAGATATTTTTAGTTAATCCTGTGGAGAAAGGCTTGACCTTGCAACTTTTACAGTCTGGGCTTTTAGGAAAATATCACATTTATCTGTGGATTATCAAGGGCTCCATGTATTAAATTAATAAATATAACTGAACACTAAGATGAAAAAAATTTGCTATTGACTGCCAGTGGCCTCATTTGTTCCTCAGAGCCTGTGGCCTGTATAGTCTACACATGGTCTGCAACATTGGTGGTTTTGATGTAACTTAGGATTTAATTTTTGGCCTATTTCCTATTTTGTCTGCTTGTCACGCTCCACAATCCCCGTTCAGTCCTTTTTTCTAGTTGAAACAGTTCAGGGCTGGCTGTGGCTGTTTGATTTTGATTGGAAACTGTCTCTTTAAATTTTGAGGAGATCTGTGTGCATGCGTAGTAGAACCCTCTGAGGATGGGGCTGGGGTGCCTACTAGCTCAGGTACCTTTATAGTCACCCGAATGGAGATGCGCAGACAGCAAGGGACCAATGAACAGATACCAAAAAAAAAAAAGAATGTCCACACCTTTATCTCCGAGGTTCTGCCAGGCGTCTGTGGCCACTCTGATCCTTCCCCCATGTGGTCTCACTCAAGATGGCGGCTCCTGGAGCAGCTGAGAATCCTGGGCTAGAAAGCAATAGATTTCTTGCTTCTGCCACAAATTCCCCCAGCTGTGGGCCTTCCAACCTTCTAAGTATTCCTTTATATGTGGTTCAGAGTTCTGGGACCATCCCTTGAACCTGCTTGGTTTGGGTATTCTGTGTTGTTGTTGGTTGAGCGCTCTGCTATACATCCACCCGATCCGCCATCTTGTTTGTTCCAGAGATTTCTTTTTTAATGAGGCCATATCAGCATGTTGTTGTTGTTGTTATGTGCTGTGGAGTCAGTTCTGACTCATAGTGATCCTGTACAGGGTTTCTGAGCCTGCAAATCTTTACGGGAGCAGAAAGCCTCATCTTTCTCCCATGGAACAGCTGGTAGTTTCGAACTGCTTACCATGAGGGTAGCAGCCCGATTCGTAACCACTGCATTACCCGAGCTCCTTCTATGTGAGATATAGGCCTTGTTTTTTTTTTTTTTTTTCCTACAAATGGATTTTCAGTTTTACCAGCACTATTTGTTGAAGAGACTCTCTTCTCTATTTAATGTGTTTGGCCTTTTGTCAAAGATCAACTGACTGTATGTAGGTGGATTTAATTCCGAGTTCTCAATTCTTTTCCATTGATCTGTGTATCTTTCATTGTACCAGTACTAGACTGTTTAGACCACTGTGGGTTTGTAGTAGATTTTAATATCAGGGAGTAAGAGGCCTCCAACTTTGTTCTTCTTAAGTAATGCTTTGCTAATATGAGGTCTTTTTTCCTTTCCATATAAAGTTAGTGATCAGTTTTTCCATCTCCTTAAAGAATGACATTGGAATCTGGTTTAGTATTGCATTATATCTATAGATTGCTTTGGGTAACATTGACATTTTCACAATGTTATGTCTTCCTATCCACAAGTATGGCATATTCTTCCACTTTTGTAAGTCTCTTTTGGTTTCTTGTAATAATGCTTTGTAGTTTTCTTTGTATAGGTCTTTTTTTTTTGTCTGGTTAAATTTATTCCTAAGTATTTTGTGTGGCTATTGTAAATGATATTGTTTTCCTGATTTGCTTTTTTTCCCCACTACACACTATGCCTATGTTTTTTTTTTTAAGGTTTTTATTGTGGATTGAGTGAAAGTTTTCAAGGAACATCATTGGTTTCACATTCAAACATTCATATACCTTGTTTCATTACATTGATTATAATCCCCTCCACATACCATCAGTTAA